AGCTCTGTGAATTTCTAACCCATATTTGGGTCTGTTGGCTTGTGTGTGGCTGGGTTTCTGTAGACTGCTTCTGGACTCAGTTACTGTTAGCCTGCTGAAAGGTCCTGCAAGTTTAGAGGGATTAAACTGCTGGTTACCCTTCAGCCTGGGACTTCTGCTCTGGCTATTCCACTGCAGGCTTATGTGCTAGGCTAAAGGCTAGAACTGAGGTTCTACTCCTGGGCTCAAAGTCATACAGCTACATTTCCAGAACTTGCTCCTTAATCAGTACACAGCCTGAAGCCCACATCCACTTGCAACCACTCCTTTCCACCCTGGATCTGTGACCTGGAACTGGGTAACAAGAAACACAGATGCCAGATTTTATGTTTCCACACCTACTGCTAGTTTAGGCATTCCCCAGGATCTCTTTCTGCCCCAGTGCTTCCTGCCCTGGTGCTCTGTCTCAGCCCTCTTTCTGTCTCTGGGGGTCTCCCTACTGCTTCTTCTCCCTCGGCCATTTTGACGCTATCCTTTAAATAATTTTTTATAGTGGCTGGTGTCATCTTCTGTCTATTCATCTCTCCAGCCTTAGTTCCTGAACTGGGGCTTTGTGTCAGGATCAGGCTCCAAATCCTATTGTGCTTTGGGGTAAGGAAAAAAGCCCTGCTTGGTCTCCAGCTGGGCTCCTGCTCCAACTTTCACTTCCTGGGGGATGTCTACTCTAAGAGCTTTGGGAAGTTTCAAGACCTCAGCCTCCCCCTGCTCCAGATATATGAGGTTCAAACAAAGCACTGCATCTTTAGGGTCCTTTATGGCATCTGAGGACAGAATGCTTTGGATTCTAAGCTTAGGAGTCTTGCTCTGAATGTTCCTAAACCCCAAGTTGCTTCCGAGATCCACATTACAGGTCTCCTACTTTTACCACCTCTGGATAGAGAGCCTTACAGGTTACAGGTGTATGTGGTTCCACTGGGAGGCTGCCTTCGTTTGCCTACACAGGTGCTAGTTTTTCAGGGAAAGTTCCTTCCCCACTGCCTGAGGGCAGAATTTTTGCTGACTTTTTGTGCAGTTCTGGGATGGGTAAAGGCACTTACTGCAGCTTTTTATGCTTGATCTCTATTTGATCTGGTGCTATTTTTAGTCTTCTGGCAGGGAGTAGGTATGTGGAAGTCAGGCTGCCTGCCTCTACTGAGTCAGCCATCTTGGCTTTAAGTCCTTGTTATGGGAACTTCTTAAAATCTATCTCAATTTGAGTGACATGTCAATACCCTAAAGAGTTTACATCTGCAGGCTTAGAGATTTCACTGTGCCTTTTTTTCTTTGTAGTCTTTTTTATTTTGCCATTTGTGTTGGTAGAATTCCTAGTCTAATGGGGAAGACAGTCCTTCCCTTTGGAATACTACAATGAGAGAAACAAAGTCCCTAACCTTGGGGAGCTCCCAGTTTGATGAGAAAGACAGGGCAGTCAAACCAAGATAAAACAGAAATTGTAGATAGTACTATCTATAGCTGTCTAAAGATGAATGATACGAGTTCCTATCAAAATGTGCCAATACCAAATCCAAAATTAGGAGTCAAAATTGAGTTTTCAAAACATTCGCACCACAAACACATCTGTGAGATTCTCCCTCAACAAACTACATAGTATTTTTTTAAAAAATCTTAACACGCTATCATCTCCACAACTTCTGTCTGAATGAGCAAACGAAGCTCCCAACATTAACACTTGTATGTATACTGACATTGGATGCACATACTGTCCCTGAGCAAACTTAGCACATGCAGCTGGTGATTTCTTCCCCTGGCTGGCCCTGCTCGCACCCCTCTGTTCCACCTTCCAACCCAGGCAGGAGAAGGTGAAGTTGGGCTGGAGTAGGTGGCTAGATAGTTCTGTCATCAGTTATGATACAAGCAGCCAGTTCAAATGATCTGCACAGGATACTGATGGGCTCTGATGACCTTCAGGGAGCTCTCACTGTACTCCCAGTGAGGCTTCAAAGTCTGCAATCTAGCCACTACTCAACACACCAAACAGGCAAGGGCTGAGTGTTTATTTTTCCCTAGCATCTTTCACCTAAACAGGGAACAACAAGAATGTTTGGGTGGCATACAAGTGGTTCTGCTGAAGACACATCATGGCAATAACCCAAAGATGTCTTATTCTAGACCCACTTTGTCTAACTGTGAATTTCCATCAATTCATCCTAAGGAAGGATAAGGCTTGCAAGTGGCCCCAACTTACAAATAGGTTTAATTGACTATTTGAAATCTGGAATGTGCTTTCCTATAGAAACAGTATTACAAATGATCCAGCCTACAAAAGCCTATTTATTCATAGTGTAGACTATTAATACAAACATAACTATTACTGGAGGCTTTTGTGGACAGGACAGCAAACATCACCACCATTTATAACATTGTTTCCATGAGAAAATGTGTTCTATAGTGTGCCTCAAGAAGAAAATAATGTTTAACATTATAAGCACATCTCTTCCCATTACCCTTCTCTGTTCTCCATCTAAAAACCCAACTACCACTGGCAACTGAGGCAAGAAGAAATTCACTGGCTCCAGAAATAATTTCCAGCACTCTGATCTACATATAAGCTAGCCATTCACATTTCAAGATCTCCATTATGTTCATGAGTGTTTATGTTTAATCTGCGCTTACTCTGCATTTACTTTGTGTTCATTTACTATCCTTGTGTTAATATGTCAGTCTCAGACTAGATATCGGCATCTCTGTGCATTATTCACTGTACAGTATACCAAGCACAACACCATATGCACACAAATACCTAATAAAGAGCTAATAACTGAATGAGAAGGGAGTAAATCAATATACTGGGATAAGGAATGCTCAAATGATAGAGAAGCAGTGTAACTCCTTCAATATTCAATCTTCTCCATTCAGAAGAAGCTTTTTCCCCTCCACGGGCCATGAATTATAGAACGGGGGGACCCAACTTTTTATGGAAATAAGCTACTTGTTATTTCTACAAAGTTTTAAAATCCCTCAAGGAAGCACTGTATATACTACTGAGAAAGGCAGAGGGGGTTAAGATGGGATATTAAGATGGGTTCTTAGGCAGTACATCTCAGAAAGACTATAGCTTTGGGAATAGAGCACCAGCCCTGGAGTCAGGAGGACCTGAGTTGAAATGTGAACTTGGACACTTAGTAGCTGTGTGACCCTGGGCAAATCACTTAACCCTGACTGCCACCAAAAATAAAAAAAGAAAGAGCATAGCTCATGAGAATATATGCATATAATAACAATAATAATATCTAGGATTTAAATATTGCTTTAGGGTTTACAAAGCACTTTAGGTTTTTCTATGTTCTTTTCCATTTTATTTCTAAATGTGATCTACTCTCCCTGTTTCAGGTGGTTTTTGGTTAATTTTTGTTAATTTTTATTTTGTCTGAAATTCTTTCCCTCTGTCCCCCCCCCATTGAGAAGGCAAATAATACAATATTCATTATACACAGGAAGTCATACAAAACATATTTCTACATTAGCCACGTTTTAAAAAAAAGAAAAATAAAGTGAAAAAATATGCTTCCATCTGTACTCAGAGTGCATCAGTTCTCTCTCTGGAGACAGACAGCATTTTTCATCATGAGTCCTTTGGAATTGTCATGGATCATTGCACCAATCAGAGTAGAGAAATCTTTCACAGTTGATGATCATTATAATATTGCTGTCCCTGTGTACAATGTTATTCTGCTTCTACTCAATGCCCTTTACATCAGTTCATACAAATCTGCCCAGGTTTTTCTGAACCATCTCCTCCTTCATTTCTTACAGTCAACAGTATTCCATCATATTCATATACCATACCTTGTTGAATCATTCCCCAATTGATGGGCATCCCCTCAGTTTCTCAGCTACCACAAAAAGAGCTGCTATAAATATTTTTGTACATATATATCCTTTTCCTTTCTTCGGGATACAGACCTAATATCGGTATTGCTAGGTAAAAGGGTATGCACAGTTTTATAGCCCTTTGGGCATAGTTCCAAAGTGTTCTCCACAACAGCTGGACCAATCCATGCATCCATCAACAGTGCACATATCTCTATTTTTCCATATCCCCTCCAGCATTTGTCATTTTCCTTTTCTGGCATGTGAGCCAATCTGATGGATGTCAGGTGATAACCTCAGAGTTGTTTCAACTGCAAAGCATTTTACATAAGTTATCTCATTTGGTCCTTACAACAACCTTAGGGAGTAGGTGCTATTATTATCCCCATTTTACAAATGAAGAAATTGAGACAGATGAAGATTAAATGACTTGACCTGGGTGACACCAACTAAGTGCCTGAATCCTGATTTGAACTCAGGTATTCCTGCCTTCATATGTAGTACCGTCTCTACTGGGCCATCTAGCTGCATGAGGGCAGGGGGAGGAGAAGGAATGTGGGGCAAGGGTGGAAGGTAAAGAATAACCAACTTTGTGTGATCCTTGCTTTAGCAGAAAACTAGAAAGACACTTGGGAAACAGAGCTAGCCTCAATGATAAGCATTATTAAACATTCGCTAAAATAAAACAAGTTAAATCAATAAGTATTTATCTCACTAACCACTTAACTTTTCTGGGCTTCAGATTTCCTTTCTGCAAAATAAGGTAAAAATCTCTTCTTTACCTACTTCTCAGGGTTGATGTGGCGATAAAAGATAACACAATAGGATGCTTTGAAAAGTAAATGCTCTATGGAAACCAAAGGTAACTATTAAGCACAGGGGCAGTCTATCCTCTGCCCTTCTTCACTATGGAGGTGAGCAAGGAGTACTACTGAGGAGGCCTCTTTGGTGACTCCTGTGGCTTCAGTCAGACAGTAACAAAACACACTTCCCTCTTTCCTAAAATTCCAAACAAGCAGCAACTGCCCCGCCCTACCAACATCCCCAGACTGTCTCTCTCTCTCTCTCTCTCTCTCTCTCTCACACACACACACACACACACACACACACACACACACACACACACACGACCCCAAACCCCTGGCACATACCCACAGTCTACCCAGGAGATGGTGCCTTGTCCTTTCACTGCCTTGGCCACGTTAGACAACAACCTGAGATGGTTTTCAGCTGCAGCAGCTAGAAAAAAAGAACAACAATGAAGTGAACACAGGCAGCTCCACAGCCATCCCTGCCTCCTTCTCACAGACAGCAAAGCAGGCACTAACAGAATTCAAGACCACCACCACCTGCCCCAGGCAAGGAGAAAAGCCTCACTTCAAAAACATGTTTCTTCATAACTTTGCATTTTCACATAGAGCAGACAAGGCTCATAACCTCTGCCTCTCAATGGGCAGGTGTCTTAAATTTGAGCTATATGCTTCAAGTCTTCTACCTTTCAGGTATATGGACACCTATTTTAAACCAGAGCTAAACACCCACCTTTTTCAGGAAGCCTTGCCAGCTTAAGATCGTAAGATTTGTAGCTGGAAGGGACCTTAGAGATCATCTAGTCCAATCCTCTCATTATAAAGTTGAGAAAATGTTAGGGGTCTAATCCAAGTCCACAATGGTAATAAATAACAGAGATGAAATCCAAACCCAGGTCCTCTGACTTCAAATACAGGCCTCTTTCTACTATACCAGCTTGTTTTCCCAAACAACTTTTTTCCACAAACTATAATTTCTAATCCACCCTCTCTCCTAAACATACTTAATCTACTTTTATTATTTTGCAATTAAACATTTCTAATGATTACGTGTGTGTGTGTGTGTTTGTGTGTGTGTGTGTGTGTGTGTGTGTCTTGAATCCCCTCTCAGATTGTGAGGTCCCTAAGGTAAGGACCATATTTCTTTCCATCACTCAGTAGCTATTCCCTGAAGTATAAAGTGCTCTGGCCCAGGAGTTCAGAATAGCAGGAGTGATTAAATGACACATACACACAATGCTAGCAACTGAAGGAAAATTCCAAATGTACCTAACTCCTATTCCCAACCTGAAATATATTCCTACTTCCCAAGCAGCCAGAAGAAGAATACCTCTCCTTTGTCCCTTCTTTCCCCCATTACCTCTAATGGATACTCATAGGAATTTTTCCTGGGGTAAGATGCAATTAAGTCAACGAAAGATTTTTTCTGATTTATTTCTATACTGATATGGAGCCAATCCCACCAGTGCTACTGACAGCAGCAGTACAACAAGCGGGAATGAGAGGGGAGATAATGAGAGGAAAAAGAGGAGGAAACTGGCCCTGTTGCCAAGAATGTAACTCTGCCACCTCTGTTACCCACTTTCAGAATAACACATGTCTAATCCTTGACAATGAACTCACTATGGGGTCACTTCCCTTGCTATGTGTGAGCTTGGAAAACGAATACTTATTTTAACATCAGGCAAAACAAATATCATCAGGAAAGAAGGTCTGCTGACCTCCTGAAAGTCATATGATACATTCCAAAGCCAAAGTGAAATGAAAATGAAAATTTTTAAATCATCTGTACTGCTATTCTCCTCCATTAATGTGGATAATTGAAACTTGGCTGTAAATAAGGAGGCATACTGTGACTTTCATGGAACCAACAAAAAGCATCCGCTGAAAGCAGCTCTAACAAGGCCCGAGCTCTGCTGGCAGCAAGCATGCATGGAGCTCTTAATGCAAGGCTTCATCACCTTTTGTGTATCCAGACCCCTTGGGCAGGCTGGTGAAGCCTATGGACCCCTTCTCAGAATCACAATTTCAAATGCATAAAATAAAATATAAAGGATTATTAAGGAAGCCAATTATATTTAAATATAGTTAATCAAAATATATTTTCTAAAATGTTCACAGGGCCCAGGTTAAGAACCCCTGGTCTAAAGGGAGGTTCTCATCATTCTGACTCTGTCCCCAAATCCTACTAGATAGGTTCTAGAAATAGGAGAAAGGGGGAAAGAATTTAATCAGACCAAATGTGACAAAAAGTCGATGTTCAATTTGTGTTCTGGGGAAACACAAAAGAAAGCAAAAATATAAATGTAAAGTAAAAAGAAAGCAAAAGAATTCTTCTCTCTCCCTCTCTGCAACACTCTCCCCAACCCCTACACTTCAGCCCAGCAAAGCCTAGGTCTGCATTAGTAAACTGACTTTTAAAAATGGCTTTTTTTTTAAAAGGCAATGAAAAAATCAGTTATTGTACTGCTTAGAAATCACTCTGAAGGTCACAAGTATCACCCTTCACATAGGCTCCATAGTAACGAAACACAATAAAAACAAGGCTAAAAAGAAAGTCTTTTAATCTGGGCAGACAGAAAAGGAAGGTAAATAATCACCTATCCCATTGCAGTAACTGGGAAGCAATGGGTAAAAGCAACTCCACTCTCCCAGAAAGAGACAGGAAGGAAAGAAGTCCATCAGTTTCTACCTCAAAGAGGTGGTCTGAAAGTCCATCAGAACCACTTCCCCTCTTCCGATTCTCTAACACATCAGCCCAATTAGTAATTCCTGCCCTGCTTTAATGCACTTTTATAATTAATGAATTGATATATTTCTGTATAGTAGACAGAATACATATTTCTGTATAACAGAGATTCACCAATATGGATTGGTGGGTTATGTCTGTTTAGTAGTCTCTACAGTTCTTAACTTGGTCAACTTGTTTTTTAGATATGTTGATAGACGTATTTCAATACAAGTGGTTTCTTTCGTAATCCTATGAATTTATTTTACTCTTTTAAAAATGTTATTCTGGGGGCAGCTAGGTGGCACAGTGGATAGAGCACCCGCCCTAGAGTCAGGAGGACCTGAGTTCAAATCTGGCCTCAGACACTTGACACTTACTAGCTGTATGACTCTGGGCAAGTCACTTAACCCCATTGCCTAACAAAAAAAAAGCAAAGCAAAAAAAAAAAAAGTTATTCTGGGAAGGGATCCATGACACAAACAGTTTAAGGACCTCTGCTCTACAGCCCTCTATGAGGGCCTCACCTCTATGGACCCCATCTGAACTCAGCTCTCTGCTGACCTCAGTTTCTCCATCTTTTGGTGGCAAAGAGAAGCTAGTCGCATCCTAGGTACCCAGCATATTGGGCCAGCAAACACTGCCAAGCACTCTAAAGTAGAAATTCACTAAGTGCCAATGAGCATGGCTGTAGGCCAGAGATGATCTGAGCTTCAAGAGGGACACACATCCAAAACATCCATCAGGCCCAAGTCCTAATGACCCAAAAAGGAGTCACTGGTGAGAACTGTGCCCAGAACTTTACCAGCCATTCGCTGTCTCTCCTGGAACACTAGAGACTTGGCATCCTTTGGAAATGGAAAGACACAATTCTTCTGGAACAACATCAACCAAGTCAGACATTTACCCTTCCCTGAAGTCACTGCCAAAAGCTAAGCAAAATTCTTTCCATCAGTTATTCTGCTTGTTAGCCTGGAGGTCGGAGGAAAGGTCTTAGTCATGGCCATCTACCCTCAATAAATCTGCCAAGCTCTTAGTGGATTCTAAATTCAGCCACATGCTCCAGCTTCAAAGTGGGGCAGACTGAGGGCAGGCAGGGCTAGAGTTGGCCAAATCCTGTTCTCAGATCAATAGGCTACTGGGAGGGCAGAGTCCATGAATCACCAGTGCTACCTAAACACGTCTTGTAAATAGAGCCCTGTGCTAGGCACTGTAGACATGGCCAACAGGAAAAAAATCATGGTCTCTATCTTCCAATGTCTCCCAGTCTAACAAGAAAACTAGAGTTCCCACCCACAAGGTCCATTATAAGAGTTTACATTTGTTTATTTTTTCTTGTGCATATCTCCCATCTCCTCTATCAAACTAGGAATTTCCTAAGAGCAGAGACTGTGTCTTGCCCCATTGAATGACCTGAAGAGATTCTCTTAAGTGACAGGAAAACGAAAACACACACACACACACACACACACACGCACACACACACCCCTGCACATCTTAACTATTCAAAAGCAACTGATAAAACAGGGCTAGGGATAGGGACTGGACCTATGAATTCCTTGGTATAGAGAACTCCCTGTACAAAATCAAGGTGGCACTTTCTCTGCAGCTCATAGAGAAGAGATAAAAGCAAATAAGCCTCAGAGTAAGGTGACTCTTCTGGGTGATTCTTCAGTTCCCTCCTCCTCTTCTCCCTCCCTCTATTTTATTTCTCCTACTTTAGAAGGTAAGGACCAAGAGTACTTACCAGATTTGGAGTAAAGCACCAATACATTATTCCGAGTCCTGAGAAGCTTCTTGAAATCCTTATGTTCGGAGATTTTCTTGATAAGCGGGGAGATCTGGATGGAGGATAGACACATTGGCAGGACTACCTGGAGGTTAAAAGAAATCGGTTCATCATAAATTTCAATTTCCAGTCTGGCCACTACAATTAGCAGATGAAGACAAATATACAATCCGAATTTAAATAGAAAACCCAACATTTTAAATTCTTGGGGGTAGGGGTGGGGGTGGGGAAGGAAATGACTACTTCCTCCATTGTAGCTGGCCCTGCTCTTCCTACAATCTTCCTATAAGATGGCCTCCACCAAGAATACTTATCATGGGAAGCCAAACAATTCATGAAACTTCCAGCCACCTTTTCTTCTCAAATACTTCTCAGTTTTATAATAAATATTTATAAGGATTCCATGTGTGTCTTACCTCACATGTTAGACTAGCCATAACCTGAAGGTAGCAGATAGGTACATTCTTTATGCGAGAAATGCAAATACCATTTCTCTCAACATGAAGCTTGAAAGTGTAAAAATAGGAAACAAGCACTCCTTTTTCAGTATTCATATTGAATAAATTGTAATTCATCCACAATTCAATCAACAGGCAAGCATTTATTAAGTGTGCACTATATACTATGCACTGAGATATATGAAAGTGAGGTGACCATGGGAAATCCAGATAAAGATATCCCACAGACAGTTGGAGGGGAGAAGAGGCCCAGAAGCTCCGGAATGTAGATTGAGGAATTATTTGCATAAAGATGATAGTTTAATCAATGGGAGTTGATGTCATTACCAAGGGATAGTACAGAGAGTTGATGAGATCACCAAGGCCTACACTGAGAAATCTGCAGTATATCCACACACAGGGATATAACATGGAAAATGATTATTCAGGAGACAGACTGGTACAAGGCAAGAGAAGAATCAGGAGAGAGTAAGGTCACAAAAAGGAAGGAGAGAATATCCAGAAGGAAAGTAGAGTCAACCATGTCAAACTCTCCAGACATAAACACAGACAAAACAAAGGCTGAGAAAAGGCCAGTGGATTTACTGATATATAGATCATTGATGAAACTGGGCAGAGCAATTTTAGTTAAGTGTTGGGGACAGAAGCCAGATGCAAAAAGCTGAGAAGCTGAGACACCAAGTCTAGGCAGCTTTTTCTAGGAGTCTGGCCGTGAAAGGGAGGTGAGAGATTGAGGAGTTGGGGAAAAACCATTTCCAGATAACACCTTCGCAGGTAATTCAATTCAACAAGCATTTGTTAATTGCCTATTATGGGCAAAGCACTGTATGGAAAAAGGAAGATACAAGTGCAATTAAGCTGAAGTACCCGTTCTCATAGAATATGAACATAAGACACTTAGGCAACTATAATAAACAGTAAGATACAGACACTAGAGAAAGAAAAAACAAAATGCTATGTGAGGTCTGAAAAAGCAGTGTGGAGGGAGAGATATTGGGATTAGCAGGCAAGGCTTCAGAGAAGAGGCCACATTATTAGAGCTGGGCTTTAAAGACTGGATAGATGAAAAAAAATCTATCAATAATTTTTTTTAAACTAGTAACACTGGCAAAGAAAGAGAATACAGTTTAGCTGTGGGTAACAGTATATGTGATGACAGTATATTGAGGTGGGAAAGAACCAGGTATGTTCAATGGTGAAACAGAGTAGTTCAGGCTGTCTAACGTACGTTGTGGGAGTGGAAAGAAGGGAACACATATGAGCAATATTGTGAAGGCAGAAATGAGATGTAACATCATACTGAACACGGAGGGTGGATTGTTAAGTTGAGGGTGATGCCTAACTTGCCAGCGTGTGACTGGGAAAATGCCGGGGCCCCTGATACAGTAAATTTGGAAAGAAGGGCAGGTTTGAGGAGAAAGACAAGGAGCTCTGTTTTGGACATGTTGGTCAGATACATGAATATGGGAGGTATCTGCATAGAGATGTAGCTGAATCCACCGGACTTGATGAGATCACTAAGTGAGATGATATTAGGTAGGGGGTGTCCTTCACTTTGTCTTCCACAGCGTGGTGAAGCCCTTGGATATGCAATTAGGTCATGCTGCAGAGAGAGCACTGGGCCTCGAGTCAGGAAGATGTGGGTGCAAATCTAAGACACTTAATAAGCTATATGACCCTGGGCAAGTAATTTAACCTCTCTTGGTCTCAGTTTCTTCAACTGTGAAATAGGGATTAATAATAGCTCCTAACTCCTAAGGTTCTTGCAAGGATACAATATTTGTAAAAGCTTAGCACAGCTCTTGCACATAGTAGTCTTTTAAATAAATTTACTTCTCAGAATAATGATTTTAAATGTACAAAGTAAAATACAAAGGATTTCCCCTCCAAAAAAAAAACCAAAACCCCAATTATACTGAAATACAGTTTAAAAACAAGATCATAGACCCCAGTTTAAGAACCCCTGGTAGAGAGGGAGAAGAGAAGACGGCATAGGACAGTACCTTTGGGGAGACCCAAAAGTTAGTGGGCATGATTAGGATGAAGATCCAGAAAAAGAGATGAAAAGAAACAAGTAGGAGGAGAACCAAGAGAGAGCAGTACCTCAAAACCCTAGAGAGAAGAGGATAAAAATGAGTCAAAAGCTGAAGAGATACCAAGAAGTATGAAACTGACGGAAAAGTCATGAGATCTGGCAATCTCGCAAGAGATCACTAATTATAAAGCTAGTTAGTAATAAAGTTCAGGTTAGAACTCAGGTTTCCTAAATCCTAGTTGAGAGTCTTTCCACTAAGTCACATTATTTTCCTAATATCTAAAATGGAAATGATTCTTAGCATTAGAAAGTAGCACTATCTTGACTTCTCCTTTATTCATTCCCATGACAATACAATTGTAAAAAGCTTCATATGCTCTTCTCCCTCAAATCTCAAATTCACCACTGTGACAATATCTTTCCCAAAAAAAAGTTCACTGAATTTACAACACCAAATTTCTTTCTTTCTATTTCTCTCAGTTTCATGTCCTCAAGGGCAAGAGAGGCACAAATAGATTTTGGGCTATGAAATCAAAACCCTGGGTACCTCGGTGTAGAATCGAAATATGCTATTAAAAAAAAAAAGAAAATTCCTTTATTTGAAAAACACATTTACATTTGGCTATTTTTAATAATTTACCAAGTAGGACAAGTCATAAGCCCCTGAAGGAAAACAAACCATTATGGTTTTAGAGTCAACCAGAAGGTCTGCTTAAATAACTATTTAAATAACTCTATCAGAAAAAGAAACTAAATAAGCCATAAATAAACTCCCAAAGGAAAAAATCAAAGGACCAAATGCATTCACAAGTGAATTTCGTTAAACATTCAAAGAACAATCAATTCTAATATTCCATAAGTTGTTTGCAATAATATGAAAAGAAGTTACTCTTCCAATCTTTATGATACAAAAATGGTCTTGATACCTAAACCAGGGAGAGGCAATGCAAAGAAAACTACAAATCAGTATCCCTAATGTAAGGGACAAGTGTCTTACAAGAACTCCAGGAAGCTGTTGGTGAACCAGGAAGGACTTTTATTAACATTCTTGCAAGACCAGGTGTCCAAGAAGTAGGCAAATACAAAGCTTTTTATTCCCTACTCCCAGTTTGCATTTCCTTCCCCTGTTTCCCCACTGGCTGGGTATCGCAGGGTTCACGGCCTATCCCGAGCACCTGAGCACCCCGTATGAGTCTCCAGCACGAGAGCCGGCGGGACGAGGCCAAGGAGCGGCGCTGCCCCCGCCAGGAGGAGCTGGCCCCCTACCCCCCTACTCCCCTACCCCAAGAGCAAGCGAACCGGCCGCAAGGAGGAAGGGCAGGATCCCATGGACCCCGGCACCTCCTCGGATGCCCCCGGGGGCACCTGGTCCACGGGCCTCCCCAAGAAGAAAGAGGCCCCACGTGAGCCTCCACCCCTCTTTACATCTCCCATTCCCCACATGTTGGCTACCCCTTCCCCTTATTTTCTTTATACTTTATTTGGTCAGAGTTCCCCATAACTGTAAGCATAAGCGGCCATGTTGGACCGCAAAACCAGTTTCAACCAGTTTTAACTGCTTTAACTGGGCCAGTTCCAGTGCATGTTCTCAAGGGTGCTGTCACGTGGGTGTCCGTACCCTGATGAATGATACGCAGAAGCAACATCCTCAACCACATTTTCTACGCTAATGAAAATTGATGCAAACATTTTAAATAAAATATTATCAAGTAGGCTACAATAACATACATTATGTTATTAGAATACATTATGACATTATACATTATGACAAGGTTGAGTTTACACCAGAAATGTAGTAATGGTTCAATATAAGGAAATATAATAAACCATATTGATAGTATAATATAAATAATAAAAACCATCTCATATCAATAGATGGTTAAAAAAAAGGCCTGATAAAATTGGATACTTGTTTCTACTAAAAAAAATCTAGAAATACAGATTGGTTAATATGACAAAAAAAGGTAAATGATGGATGTTGGAGGGGATGTGGGAAAACTGGACATTAATGCACTGTTGGTGGAGTTGGGAACTGATCCCAACCATTCTGGAGAGCAATTTGGAACTCTGCCCAAAGGGCTATAAAACTGTGCAACCCTTTGATCCAGCAATACCACTGCTAGATCTATATCCCAAAGACATCCAAAGGGAAAAGGATGTATTTGTACAAAAATATTTGCAGCAGCTCTTTTTATGGTGGCTAAGAATCGGAAATTGAAGGGATGCCCATCAATTGGAGAATGGCTAAATAAGTGGTGGTATATGATTGTGATGGAATTTAATGCACTATAAGAAACGACAAGCAGGATGATTTCAGAAAAACCTGGAAAGACTTACATGAACTGATGCAAAGTAAAGTGAACAGAACCAGGAGAACATTGTACATAGTACTAACAATATTATATGATGAAGAATTGTGAATGACTTAGCTATTCTCAGCAATACAATGATCCAAGACAATCGCAAAGGACTAATGATGAAGCATACTATCCTCCAAAGAAAGAACTGATATTGTTTGAATACAGACTGAAGCATGCTGTTTTTCACTTTCTATCTTTCATTATTTTTCTTTTATTCGAGTCTTCTAGTACA